GGATGAAAAATCATTGAATATTCAAAAAGCCCTTAATAATTTTACTACCTGATGCAAAACTGCTGCTGCCAAGGATTTCTGCAGACAGGAAAATACAACACTTTTTAAAAGGTGAAGATTTAAAGACGCTGCTAAAACGATGCCATTATCATCCCCAGGTAACTATACGACCTTTAATGAGGTACCAGAGCACATGAAATAGAAATTAGTCCAGAAATAATAAAGTTCTTTAATGATCATTAGCTCAAGCATACTTTGGGCTGGGATTGTAGAAAGAGTCTAAGAGAGTTTAGATGTGAAGTTTATGGAGTTTAATGTGATGTGGGGGCTTGGGGGGGATTCAGCCGCCTGTTTCTTGTGGGTTCCTCAGAAATCCCTCCTATGGCAATGGCCTGTCTGGTATCAGGAGATCCTCCTCCTAACAGGGCACGTAGTGTCTCAGTCTGACCCTGGCTCAGACCTGCATCTAATGCCTTCGTCTCACATTTATCAGAGAAACTCGGCTCCGTCTGTTAGATAATTTATATCCTGCAGCTGTTTTTCCATCAAAGTTACCCAGGACACACGTGAACTTTTTTTTTTTTTTTATCTCCTGCTGTGCTCAGAGCTTCAGGCAGTGTCCCCAAATCCTTGTCCTGGCTGCAGGTACTGCCCTCACATCACAGCCAACGCTTCCCCTGCTTGAACCCAGACATCCCGTTGGCACTGGGAGAGAAACCATTGCAACCAGCACTGACCAACTGGGAAACTGCCCCTACATGGCATGGAAAGAGCTGCGGGAAGGGATCAGCATGGACAAGGCTGTACAGCCTTTCCTCAGCTCCACTCTGCAGCTTGTCATAAATGAGATAATGTGAGACTATGCCAAAAGGCAACATGATACGAGCTCGGGTGCGCCGTATGGTATTACAAAAAGGGCATGTTGTAAACATTACAGAGAGGAATTAGCTGATGCCCTCATGTGAAGATTGCTAATCTGTGGGCTGTTCATTTATAAAGGTTCTCCTGGACTTTTTTCAGGCTCCTTCCAGTCCATCCCCTCTATTTATAGCTTCCTTTTGCCCTTTTCTGCCTTTTCCCAAGCTGTACACTCAGTCCTATGAGCTCACATCAGAAATCCTTCCATCGCCCGCAGTGGTCCTGTTGGGATGGTGTCAGGCACTGCGCCAGCTGTCCCTGCCAGCCAGGAAATTCACCTCGCCTTCCCTCTGCGTTACAGAGCGAAACACTTCAAATACCTCCTTTCACCTCTGCCGCATTCAGCTCTCCCTAAATAGATCCTTTGCCTCATCAGGTCTGGGATTATAATTCTTGACCTGGTTGTTATTTAGTTTAGCTAGGTGTTACTGGCATAATAACCTGAACAAAGGATTTTAAAAAAATATATATATTTTTTTTTTTAAATTGGGAAATTTTTTAAAATTTGGCCTTTGGAAACTCTAGGGAAGCAGGTACCATCCTGCTTATGTAGGATGAGATACTTTGCTGTCTGGAAAGAAGTTATTTCATATTGCTTTCCCAGTTCTCTCATCAACTCTAGGAGACAAGCAGGTTGGAGGCTCCTGTTAGCTTTCTTTCACCATATTTCAATCGTTTATTAGTAGATGCTTCCCGTTTAGGTATTATTGAATCAGGTTCCCAAGGTCCTGAAAACTAAGGTGATTACAAAAGCTTGGGTTCAGCACCCTGCATGGAGCTCATGCCTGGGAGAGTCTTGATTCAAGAGCAGCACTTCATCTGTGCCACTGAGAATAAGAGGTAACCAAAGTATGTAAAGCCAGACACTTGAAAAGAGAGAAGGAAGATAAGAGAAATGGACACTGTGCATGGTATGAAATATGACATACAGAGTGTGCAGATGTGGGGAAAAAAAAAGGGCAGTCTCCTGTTCTATTTCTTCAGGGGGTTAATGATGAATTAAATTCTGTTGAGCTATGTAATAGAGATGTAATGCTCCACCAGGAAAAGATCTTTGTGTTTATTATGGACTACCATATCTGGCTGCACCAAATATATCAAAATAATCTAGGCAGGCCCATGAGATGATAAAGAAAAAGTAATTTTCTTCCGAATATTGGCTGTTTTGGCAATTTCTGCAGAGCATACACGCTGTATGTTTTAAATCATCCTTTTTTTTGTCTTTTTTTTTTTCCCAGAAACCACAAGTTACAATGTTATCTTTTTTTTTTTTTAATGTTTAAAATTTAATATATTTTTTTTCAGGATTTGTCAGCAAAAACTGGTATCTTAGTAATTTTTCAGGGTTTTGAGAATCTCTGAGAATAATAGCATGATTGATCCTTAACATACAACTAACAACCTGCAAGCCCAGTTATGAAAATACTAGGTAGGCTTAGATGAAAATCAATAGAAAAAGAATTTTTTGAAAATTTATTGAAAATCAATAGAAAAAGAATAGTGCTTGTCTTTGATTGCCTTTGGTTCAAACTGATTGCAATTTTGTGTTAATTGAGCACCACTTTCCCTTCCGCCTGCTTGAACCTGGGGGCTCTGTAGCAGAGTTTCTCTGGAACTCACTTCTCACTTCTGGTGAATTTACAACCAATAGGGCAGAGAAGGAGAGCAGAAATTGGAGCACGGGAGATGGAGCAGAGGGAAACAGACCGAAACTCACCCAAAGTGTCAAAAAGAAAATACTCCACAGCAGTAAAACTGAAACTCATCTTCTAAAATTGAACGCTACCAATCTTAGCTACGAGCCAGCAATGTGAAGCAGTCATGACAAAGGCAAATACAGTCCTGCCTACTAGACAATACCTACTTTGATTGCAAATCTCAGAGTGCATGCCTCTGCACGGGTGATTAGCGCTTTGTGTGAGATGTGACGGGCACACAGACGAGATAGGACGCTGTCCCTGGCCTGCACAGCACCTCGAGCATGCTGATGCTGCTCAGCTCCAAAACACTCCAGCCTGGGAGCTGCTGTCAGTGCTGTCAGCGTGGCTGCTGCTTCTCTGGGTTGCTTGACGGGAGGCCCTACATCCCCCTTCCTATATCAAAATCACCCTATCCAGCCACCTGGATTCAGCTGCCTGTAGCTTTGGCTGGATTTATTTATTTATTTTTAATAAATGCTGAAGCTCTCCTCTTCCTTTCAGCACCTGAAATCAGGCAGGGGGTGAGGAGGGGACACTTGGGGCAATGACAAGTAACCACAACCTGGTGCTAAGTCCTGCCAGTCGTTTCCTGGCAGCTTTGTTGCTTGCTCACACTAAGCAGATGATGAAAGCTGGCAGCTACGGGCATATTTCGTGGTGCATCCCATGGCTGAGGGAAAAAGCTTCACCGAAGCAAGCAGTTCACTGACCTGTCCAGAGCATATTATCTATACATCTCTTTCCTGTACTATCATTGCCTAAATTTAGTGCACTAGGTTCTAATGGCAGAGGCAGTTTCTCAGTGTTTGCACAATGCCTAGCACAATAAGCTCACCAACTGTTAGGAATAGACCAGTACAACTCTTACTGACACAAAAATCTGGTATTTCTGTGGCTGTGGTGTGTTCCACAGCAATGTGGGTTCTCAGACACTCCTTGCTCACGTTTCCATGCACACAGACACATGTTACTGCTCTTGGGCTCATGCAGAGTCTAAATTCCATTTTTTCCACAAACGTCGTGGTGTCACATAGAAAAAAGAATGTGACATTTCTCCTCTAAACAACACGCAAGTTTTTTACTTTTGGAGACAGTCTTGCTATTAAAGGCTGCTATTTCCAAAGCTTCCCCCTGCAGTAGGGGAAAAGAAATGGTACTCGGGGTCCCAAAGCAAGGAAACCTACGTGTAGAGTATTTGTGCCAGAAAAACTTTCTGTTTCAAAGCTCTTCTGAAGAGAGGTAAGAGGAAAAGACAAGGGTCAGAGTGCGGGCCAAATACTGGTTTTGGGAAAGGTAGTCTAAATTCAGTGTTGCTTCCTTAAGCCATGGGTACTTACCTGTTACAATTTTTTCTACAGCAGTTCAAATGGCCACCTTAAAGCCAAACAGCCCGTTAGTTAAAAAACTTAAGCAATACTATGCACTTGAGTTGTGATTTACCAGCTACTGGCCCTCATAAACATGTAGGACTGTACTTTTTATACTGCTATTTCATTACAGCAGAGACAGATGATCAAATCCAGACCTCACGTCATCCTAACCATGCTTTACATCCTCTAGCTGTTTCTAGCTTAATGATGTGCCATGACAAAAGGCGATAGGACTGTAGCAAGCCAGAGCCAAAACATAAACCTGAAAGTGGCTCGTGGCGTTGTATGTCCCCCTTCCCTCCCCTGCTTCTTCTCTCCTCTCAGCTTTGGAGGCTACCTGAGCTTGCAGAGGAGAGATGAAACCGTTGCTTTCTGTTCTACAGACTGACTTTTCTTGTCCAGTTTGCCCACTATGGGATGCTTCTAGGGATGCCTGCATAGGGCAATCCCTTTTCAACAGCAAACAGAGGCTCAGAACACCGTATACCAGGCAGGCTGGCCCTGCTCTTCTACCCACTGCCAAATTTCAAGCCATGATCCCTCCCTTCCAGATGACTCTGCTAGCAACCAGGATTCAAAGCTATGTTTCCTTCTGTCGCGCTTGGTTGGCTTTGGACCAGTGCATTGCATAATTGCAAAAAACACTGGTGCAATGCAAGCTGCCTTCAGCTTTTGGGCATTCGTTTTAAATGGTATTTAGATTCAAAATAGGGATCTTATGGCACAGTCAGAAGTATAAAGAGGAGATAACTGTGATTTTGACCATCTTTCACAAAACCTTCACGATTGGGTTAATGTTCTGCACAGAAACCTTTCTCATTTGCTAGATGGATTTTACTTTACTGCTAAAGAGACAGCAGAAAAACACCTATATGTCATTTAAATCCTCAAAATGAAGCTGAAATGACACTTGAAGGATGAATGGGTGTTGTGGATGGGGTTATTCTTTTTCTCATGCCTTTATTGGCACAATTTCCCACTCTGATTCGGCTATTTTCTTTTTCATTTCTAGTTTTTTCTAACAGAGTACACCGGGCCTCTTCTAATATATCTGCTCTTTTACATTCGCCTCTCAACTATTTATGATCAAGTGGAAAGTACGAAGAACTTCCGCCACCCAGTGGTTCAGTAAGTGACACCTGTGTGAGCTGTGTCCTCGAGGACAGGGAGCCAGAGGGGTGGTGGCTGGCTTTGCAGGGCAGGGTCCTGGAAACTGGTCCCAGAATCAGTGTTCAGAATTTCAGATGGCTCTTATCGATAGCAAATTGGAGTTTTAGCAGAACTTGTAAGCCTGGCTGAAAATACAATTCATCACTGCCACATATTTGAATTTTGAGAGTTTTAAGAAATTAAATTTAAACAACGAACAAAAGTAAGAGCTTAGCCAATTCTATGGAAGAGTGAAAAGCACATGTTGTATCTAGCTCTACAGAAAAAAAAAAAAAAAGAGGAAGTCACACAGACGCACAAACCTGACAATTTTGTTTCTCTCCATCACCGTAAGAGTACCCCTAACAAGAAACCCTAACACCTCAGCTATGATACAATAGTTGCTGACCACAAAGAATGCAGCCTGGTTAGTCTGCTAGAACTGCAGAGCGTACCAAAAAGAAACGAAGAGATGACAGCTGACCAAGATAACTTCTTAGGACCTCTGACAGTCCCTGCCATGCCCAAGCCTTTTGCAAGACTCTTGAAGAAACAAAGCAGATCTGATTATGTGAGTGATCAAGAACTGCTGCAGATGAGAAAGTGGCAAGCAGCAAAACACCGTAACTGCCTCAGAGGTGGCTTTGCTGCCACCTGCCACGACCCTTCCACAGGATGGTGTTTGTGCACCAGGCTGGGAACTTTGCACATTTAAGGAACGTGTATTCAGTCTGATTGTTCCCATTCTGGGGGTGCTAGTGGAGAGACATAAAGGGATTTAGTGGAGCTGGGAACGAGAACACAGAATAGATGAATTCAAATCCAGAGTTGCAAGATATTTGCCTTCCTTCTTTTGCTCACACGCTTAAAAAGAGAGAGTTTTTGGAGGCACAGAAAAGTCAGAAATACTTTTACCTTCTTTTAAATGGGTAAGGGGTGTGTGGAATCCTTCCAGTGACCCCTCCTTAATGGGTTCATCATCAGTCAAATCGGTTATAAAATTCCCAACAAAGCTGGAAGTTTGCTCTAGCCTTTGGTTAAGTTGTTAATCATTTGAAATTTTCTTAGCTCAAATCTCTCTGGTTTAATTACTTTGAAATTGTTTAATCTTTGACTCTGGCTACCATACAAGATGCATAATAGAAGTATTTGAGATTTCACATGCTGAAAGCCACTTTTCATTTATGCCTTATAATTGGTTTGCAGTGAGGTAGGCTCTGGTAGCATGGCAAATGTAACCAAGATAAAATGCCACCAGGAATCACTCTTGACATTTGTTTTTGAAACTCAATCTCTATGAGCCGCAACTCATTTTCTGAAGCAAATCAGCAGTGCCTGTTATTGTTTCATAATCTTCCTCAAAAGAGAATCAGTATAATAATTCCTACAACAATTACCTCATTTCTTTGTAACGGGGAACAAAAAAGCCATCAGAATGGATTAACTTTGCAACAAAATCTCATTTTGTGTCCACAAGGAAATGAAATACAAACTACCTCCATGCAGATACTGGAGTTGGCAAAGGACAAGGAAACCATTCAGAAGCAATTCAGAATGTTTTTAAATGTCAGCCACATCCTACAGGAGCATTAAGGTAGCCTTAAAACATGGGAGACGTCTTTTGGAAAAGCAGACGTCTGCTTGTATACACAGCTGTCCTGTTTTAATGTCCTGTCAGGGCTGTGTATCACACTCAGAGCTTTAGGAGCTCTTTTTGATTCAAGGCTAGTAAAAATAAGCTGCTTCCCTACAACACAAAAGCAACTTTGTATAACACTGAAAATGATTCTATTAATCTTTGGTTCCAGATGCTTCAATTAAGACAAAATCTTAAATCCCACAGTCTCACTGTGACTCTGCAGTTTTGGAATATTAGTCCTCGTTCTTTTCATGACATTAAACTGTGAAGTAATAAAAATCAATCTTTTGCTTACCTTCATTTCCTTTTTTTTTTCCCCCTCCAGCTTGGCCTGCTTCTGCCATTGTTTACACTACATCAGACATCTTCTGGAGACGTTATTTGTTCACAAGTTTTCTGGAGGGCACACTCCTCTGAAAAATATGATAAAGGTGACTGTGCTTATTATTTTGGCAAGAGAGAATATCCTCATGTTGAAGTAGTCCTTGGAAGAAGACAGGAAAAAAAAATAATTTATTTTCTAGCTCCAGCGATTACGATTAGTCAAAATATAAATATGAGAAAAATCTCAGGGTCATATCCCCAAGGACATGAATTGAAATCAATGTCCATTTTAGCTCCTGCATGTCAGTGTCCACTTTGGCTCATCCACCCAAGGGGCTGATTGTCATGTCCAGGATATTTTTCAGACTGAATGCTATTTGATTATGAGATATGCTGCTGCAATAACTAGCAATGCTGACAGAAATCACAGTCCACTTTCTTGGTGCAATATGAATACAGTGCAAGAGACAGGTGTAGCATTAGGAAGTTAAAAGCTAATTACAAATACAAGTATATATATCTCTCATTCTATAGATGGAAGCCTCAGTAAAGAAGATACATAAAGTCTTCTGTCTCCCAAAAGCCTTCCAAATTTCAGCCATGTGTCATTATAAGCTCTCCTTCCTTTTATTTCACTTACTGAAACTCAGTCATTTTGCATCACCCCACTCCCTGTCGAGCCTCTCTTGCAAAGTTTTGCAAGACATTCAAGATTTTTGTGAAGAAGATAAGCATACGGTCAGGATATCTCCATTCCGGAGTCAGAAAGGAGCTAAGAAGACATGCACAACTAGAGATGCTGTGTTACAATACACATTTTTGAAAAATAAAAAGGAATATAAGCTACAGCACCTATATGCCTTAGGAGCCAGAGTGCCATTTCTACAGTGATCCATGCATGTGGGAGTTAAAGACCCACAGTAGTTGTTGTCCCCTCACGTCTGTGGCACATGCACCAGAGTGGCATTGGATAGAAAGACTGAGAAGAGTAAGTCTGACTTGCTGCCCTACTTTGGGATGGGGCTGTAGCCAGTGCCAGCACATTACCTGAGAAGGTACAAAGTGTGGGACCTTTAACTTTGACACGTAGAAAGGCTTTATCCAGCCCCCACAGTCTTTTCAGCTGGCTGGCTGGTGAGTTTGGTTTTTTTCCTTGTACAGAGGATGGGAGCAGTGACCCTTAAGAAGGGCAGGAACATAACGAAATTATCTCTGCTTGAGCTTTTCCAAGCCCGTGGCTTTGGTCACCGAGCAAAGGTAGCTGGGGTGCTGGCTTTTCACAAATGGATGGAGCCAGGCTGAATCTATGGTGGTAGGTGCAGTACATAGCTTAAAGGCACCGAGGGCCTTTTTTCACCAGGTTTAAAACAGGCCTATTTGGATGTGCCCTTTATTATCTCAGCTGCTTTAGCGTTCTGTTTGGCTAGCTCTATCTTGCCTGGAAATACTGAATTTAAGGTATTGTCACAGCTCAACTGTTTTAACCAGCCGCAGGCTTTTAATAGTTCAATTCAGAGAAATGTGCCCTTCAGTGCTGGAATCAAATAATAAGAAGAAAACAAATGTCAGAAGAAAACAAATGTCAGTCCCTACAACAGGAATGAAAAACATTCAACAATGAAAAATCTGCACTGTGCATCCTTTTCTATTTAATTATTTATTTATTTATTTTAGTGGCTTCATAACATCTTAAAAGATCTATATTCTGTAACTCACAAAGCCACTGCAAAGTCTTTCAGTAGTCATCTGGGTTTTGCACTTATGCGAATTTATAGTTGCAGTTCACACTTGCTTTGCATCCTTTCTAACAACAACAAAAAAAAAAGTATTTTTTGTCCATTCCAGGGCTGTGCTTTTTACTGGGGATTCACTTCTTGGATCGCATACTACATCAACCATCCGCGATATACGCCACCATGTATGTATAAGCAGAGTGTAAAATTAACCTTTGTTTTACATAGTTTTTGGTGTGCAACCTTAAATCCCCCAAAATCGGTAGATGTTTCGGCCCTCATGTCAGATGACATGACTAACCTGGACAGAGACTGGCAGAGGGAAGGTTGGTGTGCAGGTGACACTCCTCTTGGGTCACTGATAGCTAATGTGCAAGGCAGTAATGCTGCAAACAAGGCTGAAACCTTCTGACACCATTTTTATCAGTCTGGGCCATTCCATCAGTAGGTACAGCTTTATTTATAGGGAAAACTCTTTGCTCAAGATGCAGCTTGAAGCCAGAAGCTGTCTTTATTCCTTTATCTTGCCACTGCCTTAAAATGACAATTATATAATGGGTCAGCACTGGAGATCACCAGCCCTCTGGCACAGTTAGCTGGATAGAGTTATTTTGGATGTAGGAGAAGGTGACCTCCACAGCCACAGCCAAAGATGGTTATTTTGGCGACAGGTAAGGAAAGGCGAGCAGATAGTTACAGAAGGGAACGCAGGAGTGGTAAATCAGACCAGGCTGACAAAGGGCCCATGAAGAACATCTGCTTAGCAGCTACATACTCAGCTGTTGACATGTGCTGCCCATTCTGGGCAGGAGCTTTAGCATATGCCCTTGGCAAACAGAGCCATGCACCAGCCAGAGAAAAAACGTTCGCAAAAGTAAACCCCATCATGTCCTGGGTTCTCTGCTCAAGGAGATAGAAGGGCCTGTGGACAAAACATAGGGATAAAGATGTAACCGCCAGCCTGGTTCTCCCACTGATGTTCACTTTGTTCCTCCCCTTGCCTTTCCACGGATTATAACCACCAACTGTTTTGACAAAGTACTTGGATGAGTGAAGCTGACAAATGATAGGAAAAGTTAGGTGAAAACCACCTTGAGATCAGTGGTGGAGAGACTGGCATTTCTAGAGTGCCTTTACTATTTGCATTGTCTTCATACTGCGTGATAATATCCACTCCTTCTTGCAGAGCCTGTCAGGAAAGAAGTATTTCTGCTCCTCAGCACTAGATTAATTTCACCCATAGCAAACCATGTGCATACTGTAAAATGCAATTTATCATTTCATTCTATTTTCTAGCATTTGGCCATAGACAAGTGTCTCTTGCTGCCCTTGGTTTTCTGGTAAGTACAAAAAAATATATATATTAATGATTGTGTAATAGGAACAACTCATGATTTAGCAAAATGCAGTAATGCTGCTATGCGTGTGTGTATATATGTCCACTCTCCCAGTCCTGTGTCATTTGACTGGATTTAGTGATAATCTACCAAGGTTTCTGGACCAGGAGGTCTCCTCGTATTACGTGCCTATACAGAGCTTAATGTAATGCACTGCATAAGAGAGCTGTGAGAACTACATCAGGATTATTACTACTCACAACCGTGCAAGTCTTTGTAAGAAACAATTCACCTGGATCATTCTGAGGATGTATTTCAAACAGGCTATTCAACACAGGTTAAAAAAAAAAAAAAAAAAAAAGAAAAAAAAAGAAAAAAAAAAGTCTCCTGAGAGATTTAAAAACCTGCAAATTAGACGGAGAGTCAAAATAGTCTTTGCTGGGAAGAGAGGAAAATGCATACTTGCACCCACAGGTGACTGCTGAACCTGATGTTCCAATGAACATAACTATATCCTAGGACAGAGGCTCAGTAAGATAAGAAATTCTGACATGAAAATGTGTATTTTCTTCCATCCTCTGTTGGCATTGCAGTTGGAAAGGTTGAGTATTAACTTACCCAAGCAAGCATGGGTAACTGAAGCAGCCAGCCTCTTTGAAAATCAGTTGCAGATCAATTTCCAGAAATACAACAGTAAGAGAAGAAAGCAATATATCTTGTCCTTCAGACAAACACTATTCTGAAAAGCACTCAAACAGCTCCTGTGCGAAATTTAAATGCTTCCGTAAATCAGAACCCTTAAAGATCACCGTTTTGGCAGCGCTCATCTCTGGGGCTGGCCATGCAGTCCTCAGCTTTTCCTGCCCAAATAAGGCACAGCAAAGACATGCAAAACCCTCGTATGAAGAGGCTTACTTCATGGGGCTGTGCAGCTGGAAGCAATAGTCCCATAGTGTGGTGCCAGGAGGCAGTGGTGGGCAGTGATGCACCCAGAGCCTGACCGTCTGCGCCCTTCCGAAGCTCAGGGATTACTTGAAACCAAGCAAATTAGTTGCCAGTAAAACTAGCCCTTGACAAGATCTCTGCAAAGGAGCAGATATCTAAATGAAACATCCTTGTGACATGCTCTGCTATAACTTTCATGGAAAAGGGTGCCATCAAGGCAAGCAAAGAGCCCTGTTGAGGATATTTGCTGCACAATACAGCCATCCTCTCGAGCTCTGCATCAGGAGATCTGTGGTCTGAATGCCTACAGCTCTTTAGAGGAATTCATACCCAAGGAAACTCAAAACTTTTCTCGTTCAGACCTCGTGCTGGTAGATCTGACAACTTAAAACAGCAACATACAAAAGTAAATGATTTGAAGCTGTTTTCACAAGGTTCTTAAACATATGAATAAAATATTTGTAAGACTTATTTTTTCTCTTTTAAGACTTGTCTTTAGTACATATCCTGATTTAAGTGTATGCATCCGTAGCTGCTGTAAACAACAGTACAGAGTAATTTGAAGAGTGTCAGCAGGCCCTTCTGAAAGATTTTCCTATTTAGAGAAATTGCTCAAAGCTGTGCAGGGATGGTTATCTTCCAGGGTACACGTGGAATGCAAAGAGGGGAAACAGGATGTAGACTTCAACAGTTCAGCCTCATAAAGATGCTAAGGCTTCTGTCTGCACTTCTCCACTGCCCCACTTTTCTGAGACACTAAAGACTGGCTTACATTTAGCAGTACTTCTCAATTTAGAGCATTACCAGCCACGTTTCTAAAGAGTGACATAAGAGCTACTTACTAGCTGAATGCAGCTGCAGAGCCAAAGGTAAGCCAGAGAGAATCCCAGCAGAAATGCCCTTTCCCTGCTTTAACTTACAATCGATTATAGAATTACTACGTGTTATCTATAGTGTATAAATCTGTTTTTCTCCACAGTGATATACATGTAGGTAGCACATCTTTCAATCTGTACAGTGTTTCACAAAAACTCTTTAAACTTTTAAACATTTTTTTTTTCTTTGAAGCAATTGTAAACGGAAACAATCATGTTCCTAGTTTGTAATCAGAAGCACCTAAATTAAATGCACTTCTAATGCTGTGGCTAAAATTACAGCTCCTGATATAATGTTTTATAGTAGAATTTCCTTTTCTGCCTATTTAATGTTTTACATCTGGTGTTTATGATAGATGACAGCTAGGTAGTTGTAATTAAAAAAAATAAAAGGACTGCAGGATTTGACCCATGACTACCTATCCATGCAGAATAACAGCTTTGCTAGTAGGAGAACTGATTTCAGCTTTCCTAACAAAAAACACAGAAATCTCTCTGCCAAAAGAGGAAAATTCTTCAGCAATGTTATCTGCAATGTTCTTTCAGATAACGGCACATTTCAATACAAAATTAACTTATGTATTTCTTTCAGTTAGCTTTCATTGAAGTTTGTTATGGCTGCCTTTTTCATAATTGGCTTAAAAAAATCATATTTCACTTGTTTTCTGTATTAATTTTGTGGCTTTACACTTTTAATGTCTCTAGGTTTTAGCACTCTTCCTCCTTATTATTCTAATTTCTTGATTTTTGCCAGCTTAAAAAAAAGAGTAAACAATACATGAAAACATAACATTTTAACACTGCATTTTTTCAGTGTGAGAGGAGAAATCGGTCCTCAAACCCAGAACTGGATAAAAAAGTTCAGTCTGAGATTGAAATGTGTACCGGCATTTTGATTTTCTTCGTAAAACAAGGGAAAAGTGAAAAATAGGAAATGAGGTCGTTCTACTGATAGGTTTTCTTCTCCAGGCAAACCTGAAGCCACCTTGTTCTACATCTATATAACCAAACAGGGAGACTTGTTGCCTCTTCTAAAGATTTTAATCAACTAAATATTAAATATCAAGCGTGCGAATTTGGTTAGGCTGGAAATGGCATAAGCAGAGAGTAGCAGAACAAGGAATAATGTTGGCTCTGTTTACTTTTAAATTCCTGATTATTATCCATTATCCACTCCCATAGGGTGGCCGTGGAAGTCCTTCCAGAGTATATTTTGGAGACAGAGACAAAGCTGTAGGGGAGAGGGGGGGGACTCTGGTTATGCACTGTAACGCAGCTAGCATTTTAGGCATACAACTGAAAAGATGTTTTTAATGTCTTGCAGATGTGTGAAGCTGGAAATCACTTTATCAACGTAGCGTTAGCTCACCAAAATCACTCAGGTCTGTTTCATATTTGTCTGTTTAAGACTGAAGTGTGCTTAACCCATCCATCTTCTGCTGGTATATAATAATTTATGTATCTACGAGCATGGAATAGAAAAAGATTAAGTAGGTACCTTGCCATCGGTATGATGTGCTCAAAATAAATGTGGTGACAAGGAAATATTAACACTTGTTGTTGTTCTAAAACTTGTAGCAAATTTATCTTAATTATACACACCTACAATTTAAGTGTGAATTTAAGCATGGAATTCCTCTAAAGCATCCTGTTGACAACAGAGAATTAAATTTTAAATCAGTTTCAAAATTTTAAAAGTGAAATTGCTAGGGTTTTAGATATACCCATCTCATGCACAGATACACATCCACATACGTGCAAACACGATAAAATCATGAATACTTACACAGGCGTCTATCTAAGTGTGCATATGTATGCTTTTAAAGGCTGCTTCAGGTATGTTTTTCTTTCAGGATCTTTTATACCTTGCGAACAAAACCTATATATACTGGATACACTAGAAAATAAAATATATTTTCAGATAATAATGGTGTAATTTCCCACAATAGCATCCTGCTCAAGAAAATACTTCACCATGGTACAATCAACTTCACACACTGAAGTCACTTTCTTCTGTTCCAGAAAGGTTTTGATGTACTGTGGTTAGGCAGGTGCTTATGTTGTTTATTGCAAGGAGTCTAAAGCAGTTTAAAAGCAGCAAAATCATTTTTTTTTAAGCATCCTCAGTGTCTACAAGTATTAAAGACAGAACTGTTGCCAGAACTCGAAAAGTGAAATGTTGCAATTTATATGAGCGTTATCAGTGGCTGTGGAGAGTCGTGCTGTTAGCTCTGGAGTTGTTTTCCTGTTCTGCTCAGGAACGAAGGATGAGGATGCAAGAGGGGACAGGTTCATGGTCAGGAGTCAGCCTGAGTAAGATACATCTGTGTCCTTTCTATCCCAGAAGAGTGCCCTTAGCACTCTCCTGCTGGCTAGTACACATTAAACTACTCATTTCTCTTTTCCTCTGAACAAAGGTCTTATCCTTTGGACATGCCAAACCTTTCCTGTACAAACGGATACGTGGCTTGCTAAGCAGTGTTCTCACTGGGATAAATGCAGCTTTGCGGTCTCAAAGATTTCACAAAATTTCCAGACTATAGCTATACTTTGGAAGCATTGACCAAAGTGACCCTTGTCACATAGTTAGCTTGTTATAGGGCCTTGTTCCCCTCCCTGTAATAAAACCACGGGCTTATCTTTTTCTTTCTTCTTTTCCCTCTTTTATAAAGGAAGTAAAGCCTGTTTTCCAAGTCCAACCTACAACCCCTTCACATGGCTCTTCTTGCTGGTATCCTGTCCCAACTATACATATGAGGTACGTGACTTTCTCCTGTTTCTTTGCTAAGGGCGGGTTGTAAGGTCGTGTAAAACTTTCAGCCTGTGTCCACAGCAAGTCTGCAGCTCCTCCACACATCTCCCTATACATCAAGCATTACATTTTTTGTTTCAGAGTCTCCTTGCTCTCACAAATGTTTCTCCACCAGCCCTTCTCTTCCCTCACATGTGCAGCATGACTTTTGAATATATTCTCCTCCATTGCAGAGTCCCCAGCAACCAAATGATTTACCTCCCATCTCTTCACCCTCACACAGCACACTGGGTGGCCCCTTTCTAGCTGTTTTTCCTCTCCTCTCTCCAGTGCAAAGTGTTAGGCTCTTCTTGTGAAGATTTTCCCTTTTTTGTGCATACAATTAACAATGCCTTTACCTTTGCGACAGGTTGGTTCTTGGATTAGTTTCACGGTGATGACACAAACACTGCCAGGTAAGTTTGACATAGAGCAGAGAAAACTCTGAAATTGTTTGTGGAGGTGAATTCTGTAAAATTAAAATGTGCCCCAAATTTACAGCACACGAAATACTGTCAGCAAATCTCCCCCGTGACATGACTGTACAAACCTTCGACGTGCTACCCTCAGAAAATTGTGGGGGGTATGAACACTACTGAGACACCCCCAGTCAGCTTCTTTGGATCTAAACCTGTTTTTTTTGTGAAATATTATTGTCTTTTCACTTTTCACAGTGAAAATTAACTTTGAAATTTAATTAAGAAATACATATTTTTTTCATTTATAGTCAAACATGATACAGGGAACTTTCTTTTCACTGTCAACCTGGAGTGATACTTCTAATAGGAAGAGCTAAAAAAGCCATACTGAGTAGTTCCAATGAGCAAAGACACACAAAGGTGCCAGGATTTTCCCACTTGCTTTTATCAGGCACCCAGCTCCTAATATCAACCTGCTTAGCAGTGTTTGCAGATCTTGCTCAGTATTTTCCTGAATCCTTAGAGCCCTAAATACCCATACAAATATGGTCCCTGGGACTGAACTCCCCGGGACTGAGCTCTCCAGAACATTCACTTTTTAATTATCTTGCCATTCCAAAAGAGAAAACAATAAAAACTACTTGCAAAAAGTAGCCCCACGTGGTTTACAAATGAAAAAGGAAGGGATTTCAGAAGCGACTTAAACTCCATCATGACAAAATAAAAATAAAACTTTTAATTTTGTTTGAAAGATAAAACATTTTTTTGTGCTACAGGTCCAGGTATGGAAATGATCTGAAAGTTCAGGGGCATTGTAGGGCTGCCTTCCTGGGGGCAGAAAACAGCAAAGGATGCTGTGTGTACATCCTTTCAGTGACTGTCCCAAACACAACTTGGCCAGATGCAAGATGAATCTGATCCCCCAGCTCATTTTAAGGGAGGAAAAGGGTACTGAATTTGAAAAACAAAACAAAACACATCCTCTACCTCTCAGCCTGAAAGGAGGGGAACCTAAGAGACCTCTTACTGAGCCTTGATGACCACAGCAGGGGCCCATGCAAGACCTGCGTGTAGGACCATGCAGGGCTCTCCACTGAGGTTTTTGTGAGACCTCACTTCTGGACAGCTTCATCTGTGGCTGTCTGCTTGCTCCAGGGTCCATCTGTACAACAAGACGTTACAGCACAGCTCCCTGTTGCGGTTGGAAGCTGAGGGTAAAAATGAAGAAGTGTTATAGGCCAGAAGCAAATCAGAGAAATAGTCGTGTGTGGTCACAGAGAATTCTGTGCCGCGACTGCACGAGGCCCAAGGAGGCCGTGGTTTATGATGAGGCCAGAGGTGTTTCAGGGTGTCTCTAGAAGATGTGAACATCTTCTGCACACGTTCTGACATGGCAGCTGTGAGCCTCAGGACACGTTATCACTGCCACTGCAAGGCTGAGAACGAGGGCAGGGTTAACTTGTCTCTGCCCACAGAAGAGACTTCAGACTTGTCCCTAAACCCTCCTGTGTGCACAGAAACAAGCACTGAAAGAAAACACGATCCTTTTTTTTTTTTTTGTTCCCTTTTTTCTTGATAGTCGGCATTTTTGCTTTCCTGATGGTCATCCAGATGTCTCTCTGGGCCCAAAAGAAACACAAGCTGTACCTGAAGAAATTTTATCCAGAGGTGCGGAGAAAAGCAGCTATGATTCCTATCATCTTCTGAGCCCTTCACAAGAGTTGAAGCCTAAGTGTACAGCTCAATAACTAATGCAGAACAAATGAGCCATTTAATTCAGTAACCAAAGAGGACAACCTACTGGATATCTTTTTCAGAAAAATAACAGATCAAAAAGAAGAGGTTTTAATTAAGTGGGAAAAAAAAAAAAAAAAATAGCTCTTGAATTCTTCTTTCCTTCTAAAAGATTTTAAATTAATTTTCTGCAATGGAGCTAATTGGAAGACGATAAGAAAATTTATGTTGAATATGAGGCTAGATATTTAGCAGGTGTAAATGGGCACAGATACTGCTGAAATTAATGGAATACACCTCAACTGCATGCATTCAGATCTGGTGATTTTAAGGTTTGGTGTTAGATGTTGACCAGATGCATGGATTTTTGCATCTATTAAACTGCACAGAAACAGCATGTCCTGCCTCAACTCCTCTAAAGCATCACATCAAAGGATGACTTGCTAAGCTGTTAAAACAGTTTGGGCTACTTTTACAACTTTTTTTTTCCCCCCATCTTTCTTTTTTATTTGATTCTGATAGCAAATTGTTCAATACAAATTGGCTTAAAATGATTCACTGCAGAGACATCTGGTTTTCTTTTATTTTCAGGTAGGCAGATCAGCCCCGCAGTCCCAGGAGGGGACTGTTTGTGAGCTGCTTCCCAACTTGCTACTAATTTGCTGCATGACCTTGGGTACATCATTTAAGTCCATACCCCCTTTCTCACATTAAACAGCTCTGGAAATGGCAGAAGACTTTCTGGACTAACAAGCATGTTAAGATCTTCTTGTTCAATGCCCAACTGCATCTGGACACCGTTCACTTTAACTTGTATCAAGCACTGTGAAATCCTTGGGCACAAGGTGAACCAGATTACAGCTTGTTATCAAAAAGGAGAGGGATTTTGACAAAATTTCAGTCCCTATCTGAACTGGCACAGATGAATGGCTTCTGCTCCACTTCAATTTGGCCAGTAAGTTCTCACTGCTACTTTGCTTTCCAGGACATTATTTTCCAGGGGATCCCCTAAAATCCCCTGGATTTGTTATTCAAGTCCTAAAAACTCTGTTTAGCTCCATTTGCAAATCAGTGGATCCTTGCCACGCAGAAGCACAATTGTAGTTAGAGACAGCAAGAGAATCAGAACTGTTTAAGCATGCATTTATGGCCTAACTCTGTATATCTTAATTCTAGTTTCATTCTACTACCATTGCACATTTATCAAGGTCTTTTGGCTCCCTTAAGCCTGTGAAAAAGATTGCCAGAAAACCTTTAGTTGTTAGAGAAATACCAAAATACAGATGCAAAGTAGGCAGTTTGTCTCCTAGAGGCTATGTTATCTTAGCACCAGCCCAAGTGTTCTAACAAAGTTCATTTGCCCCCAAAATTGTGTTTATATTCCTCTTCTAATGTCTAATCTAGAGTCTCACAATTTGCCCATTAGCAACAATAACTCATTTTCATCTTGGTAAATAAATCACTTTCCTTTTTTTTTTATTATTTTTTTTAAGCTGATAACATCTAATTTTATTTTATTTTTAATCCTCTCAATGGAAAACCCGAGTTAGAGTGAATACCCAGTTGTCTAACCCAGACTACTAATAAAGATCTGTTTCAGAAAAAGTATTTTCTGTACTCTTTAGTCACTTATATAACAGAAATATTTTGAAACTTTTTGTTCCAACTAGTGTTAGACATGTGAGTCATAAGAATGTTGTCTCTTTTTGTTTTTAACTCCAGTTACTGGGATTCTTTTAATTTCAGGTTAATTAAATGTCTCATTTTAGCAGTCTTGAAGTTTGAATAGTTCATGAGGAAAGGTAACTTGGTAAAATTACACATTTATCTAGTAGTCTCTTGGTTGAGATTATTGCAGCTTTAAGTCTGTTCAAGGCATGCTACCAGAGTGACTCCAATTCCTGGGAACACAGTTCCTCTTCAGCAATTAGTTTAAGCCAAGTAAGTACTTCAGGAATTGTTTACCTCTCTGCTTTTTAGTAGGTTAATTGGTATGTGAGGATAGGGGAAGAAGGGTGTTGGCTCCCTAACTGAATGACTGAAGTTTTAAAATCATGGTAGGAGCAAATACTAGGTAATAACAAATGAAGATATACTACAACAGGCTGTCTAATAAATAAATAAATATGGCAGGTATTTTGGGATTTGCTGATGTGATCTTGACTAGCTAAAATTGCTCTAAATTGTGTTAAGTCACTTACAAATAGCAATAAATCCAACTTCCTGCACATTCATGGATCTTTCTCTATTACTCTACCTTCTGTGATTTTCAGGGCAAGTTCTGTGTTTAGAACGGATAACTTATCTCCCTGTATTTGCCAGTAATTTCAGCAACAAGCATCATGTATATTCTGAAACAAAACAATTGTCTCCACACAAGCATTTTCTTGGGAAAGTTTGTCATGACTACTAATTACTTGGGGAAAAAAAAAAAAAAGAGTTCTTATCGAGCTCAAAATACTCTGATATTTTCTTGTATTAAGGGCTAATGCGGAAATAAATGGTTAACTGAAAACATGTTTGGCAGTATTCTCTCTTAAGCACAGACCTAAATTCTTCAGAGCCATCAGTAGGAGGAAGACAGGGGCAGGGTCACCTGAGTGCCAGAATATCATCATGTTTCAAGGTCAAAGGGAATGAGCCAACATCCAATGTGATCCATTGCTTAGGTAGTTGCACCCTACTTTAGCCACTTAATACAGAGTTAGTTACTCAACAGACATTGTGAAGGATCTCACCAGCACAGCACTCTGCATGCACTGGCATACATGGGAAAATAATCAGGAAAACGTGAACAAAACTTTTCAGTCCTGCTCCCCTATGGGGGCCATGAAATCTACAACTTACAACAAACAAAGCAGTTCTTTCCCTTTGAGCTCACTCCTTTTTTTTTTTTTTTTCACTTGGAAATGTGATGGACTGTAGGGCAGTGAAGCCACAGCCCTGTGGTGCTCAGGATGCTCCTTATCCTTGCCTTTTGCTCCAGTGACCAGCCTGAGCTTCCTTGATGCTGCTGCCAGCCCTCATCTTAGATGCAACATAATGAATGATGTTTGTCACGAGAAGCAGGAGGCAGAGCAATGCGTAGCAGAAGATTCAAGTGGTCAGAGTTGGAGTGAGACAGATTCAGGTTAGATGCAGGGAGCCAGCACAACTACTGGCACAGGTAGGGCCTTTATCTACTGGGGCAATTCCTGCTCAACACTCTTCAGAAGCTAGGTCATCCAAGCCAAAAGACCACAAATATGGCAAGGTACAGAGACGTGAGCCTACTAGACAACAGTTCTGGTGGGGACAGTGTGAAAACAATCAGCTGAAGTCCCACGGAGTCCTTCCTGGCCTGCCCAGGAAGGCTGGTGTGAACGCCACTGCTCAAAGCACTGCTTTCTCTCCCATCGGTGGAGACTCCTCACACCCAGGTCCCTTTGTGTTCACCCAGCAGCTTGCTGCTGGTTTTCTGCTGTGATCCTCCAGACGGGTAAGTCTCATCTTTCTCAAAGTCTAATTTCAAGACTTTCAAATGAGGTAGCCTAAAGTTGGGCCTTTGGTTTCACAGGTCTACATTTCAGTGGCCTGCTCTTGCCATGAAATGCTGACCTTGACAAGAGCAGGCACCAGCTCAGGCTCTCTGGTGACGCAGTGAGGCGTTGTGATGGAGAACCAAAGTGGCAGATGCTCCTGTACACAGCTTGGCAGCCTGCGTTTGGATGCCCAGTTTGAAAAAGCCCTTAAGACCCAGCCATATGCTTGTCTTATAAGACAGTTAACACATCTTCCCAGTTGACAGGACTGAAGATTGTCTCAGTGATTTCATCTCTCCATAGAACACTGAAAACAGGAGAAGTGAATAGGCAGATGGTCATCCTTTTTTAAACATGCTATTATCATCAAAATATCTTGTACTTTCCATTGTTTTGTATAAAGAAAGTGACTCTAAATTGGCTTTTATCACACTAGGAACTGAGATAAAGCAACCTGATAGCAAAGTAGTTCTCTGAAAGAGAGCCTGCAGTGATAGCTAAATATAATAAAATAAAAATCACTGAATGTGAGGACTTCTAAAGCACACTATAAGAGGGAGAAAGCTATAGGAAAGCAAGAGACTATTTATCTATTTATAGTTTTAACAAGTGCTGCTGAACTAAAAATTAATTCAAACCATAAAGAGTTTTTCAGCAAGCTAATATTTTCCACATGATGCTTTATTGGCTTCCCTTTTCTGTATTTTCCTAGGCACAAGTTTTGTCTCCAAGCTATATTCTCTGTCATTAACATTCATGAAAGCTTTTAGAGAAATGTACTGTATGCCAGTTCCAGCGTTCCACAGATAAACGTAAATGAAGTGTTGTGTTGTCACTGCACAGTGACAAGTACCTACATGAATAATATTTTACTATGAAAAGCCTGGTTTATCACAGGTGAGTGTATAAAGGCTGCTGTATAGCTACAATTAAAGGCAGTTTTCATAACACATGGATTTAGCATCAAGGAATAATTTTTTTTCTAATGTTCTCTGCAGACGTAGTGTTCAGCTACGTATGTAAGTTGGACATGTAACTCTTTCTGCAGGTGTTGGAGCCAAGAGTAGAGCTGCCCTGGGCCTTTATCATGGCACCAGTGGTTGGCTATTTATTTGCCTAGCTCACCAGAGACTGGCTTTTACTCTGGCACTGCCCTGTGAGGACGGCTCTGAGAAAATATTTCCTTGTCCGTCTGGACAAGAAGTGGCCCACGTGAGGGGCGTCAGTCACCGCGCGACTGAAATACTCTGCACTGAATTGCCTTGCAAGATAATGGTAAATCTAAAACCTCTTTTGTCAAGTGAAAAGACAAGCTAATGGGCCCTGAAGTACGTGCATTTGGATTAAAAAAACCTACCACATATTAACACCTTCACAACACCTAGATTTCTAACATATATCTGCTTTTATCCAACTTCTGAAGCATTTGAAGGCTGAGTAACCAAGCAAGAGGAAATCATTTATAGATAAAAGAAATATGATAAAGAGTATTCAGCAATGCTAATGAATTCCTTATTTAAAAAAGCAAACTTCACATCTTTTGTTGAAGAATTCTGATCATTAGCTAGCTTCCTCGTAACACATGACATTATTCCTGGGAAGAAGTAATACAGCTCTACCTGTGATCCCTTCTGCTGTTCCAAATACTCTGCCATTCTCAACAAGGAAGGCTTTTCTTTTAAAATCACAGCTCCCACCATCTGGGGGCTCTTTCTTTTAAAGCACTACAGGGCAGGCTCAGAAGAAAACAGACCCCATCAAGCACTCTTTTGCTCTTACTCATACTGAAAAGTCGATGAGTTTTCAGTTGACTGGTGGAGCACCATGACACTGAGTTACAAAATAAACAAATACTTTAAAAAGTGTCCCTCTCCTGGAGACGAGAAAAGAAAAAATGTTTTGTTTTGTTTTTTTTTTTTTTTCCCTAGGACATAATATGAAGCCATTTCCTAGGTTCAAGGGCATCCTTGCAGAATGAAACATTGATTAGAGAGCTGGAAGGACTAGAATGTGGCTGCAGTGTGCTTTTAGGGATTAACAGATATGTCTTTTTGGAGAGAAATTTCACTCTTTCTGACAACAGAGCTTGACAGAAATGGATTAAAGATGACATGTCCAATATTGCATCTAATGAAAAACAAAGTACCTGTTCTGAAACCAACAGGGAATACTGTCACATAAGAACACTGTATTCTTCCACCCTCTGGTTTACGTCATCTCTTTGCAGAATGTGCTTTGCGTTTGGACCAGTATGGCTTTCATTCTAACTCTTACTATTTATCTATTAGAGCTTTGAGATACGCAGTAATGTCAAAGGAAAACCAACTCCTGATTTCAAAAGGCTACGGATGAAATATCCGTGTTACCTATTTCAGCCCTCTTGCCCCACACGCCCTAACTTCCGAATGATTCTCCTACACATTTCCTTTGCTTCTAACCTCTGCAGCTGTTCATGGCCTCCTCCCTGCAAAACACAAGAATAATTCTTCCAGGTCTAACTAATCAAGTTTGTAACAGCATCTTACTATTAAACCATAAATCTATGGAATAAAAGCTGCAACATAATCTCACATACGTTTGAAATGTTTTCTTATGTAGAGAGCCCTAGCAGGTAAAAGGAAAAGATATTGCAGTAATACAGACACAAGGACAAAGTGAATAGGACCGTAGTAATCTGAGAGCTGCAGTCTCCCCAAGGGCTCAGTGCCTTGGACATCTGTCCCAGGAGAGGGAAGCACAGATATAATAAAGATTTACTGCAATGTAATAAAGGCAGTGCTGATCTTGCTTACAGACCTGAAATTAACTTTAGAAGACATAGTACCCTGAGAACACTTAAATAAACAGGTAATCTATTTTGATAACATGCAAATATTTGTCAGAAAGTGTACCTCGAACATTCTTGCACTTGGTTTGGAAATGCCAATTTTACAATAATTTTCATACATGCACTATGAGCACACCATGGACTTGCACAGAGTACTGCAAGTTACACAGGGAATTACTGATAATGACTAAACAAAAGCATGCTGTTTTATTATGTGCAGTTATTTGTCTTCATTTTTGTCAGGGAAATAAAGTGCTATTCCTACCAGAGAAGGCGGTGAAATTTCTTGCACTTATGAACTGCGACGCCAAACCCTCAGGGCAGCCACACGACTGTGCCAGAGAGCTTGAGCTTGAAGGAAGGAATTCAGGAGTCATTCGTAGGTAGGAGATGACAGCTCTCCACAACCACCCTGCTCCTGTGCTGACGGGTCTGAGTCCCTGATGAAACAAAGACCATTTCAGCCACTGCTGCTCCTTTTCAGAGCTGAATGCCCAGGGGCTGTGGCCCCAGCCAGCTATTTCAGCACCCAAGTTCTCTTTGAGCAGCTCAAGGGCTGGGATGCCTCAAGCCTACAGCATCTCTGCTAGAAGATGTGCCGTGGACTCCAGGCCAAGGTGCTGAAGCCCGATGCAAGATGGGTTTAGCTCTCTCGGTAAGCCTGCCAAACAGCTAATGCAGTTTGTCATCCTTGAAGAAGCCACTGATGTTAGTTTCTCATCCCTCAAGCAACTCGTGGTACGTGCCAGCCGGTGGTTCACTGACTGGCTCTCGGTGGC